GGACTAATTTTCGATGAACATCTCTCCTGGGACGCTCACATAAATAATCTAATAACTAAATGTAGCAAAGATCTAAATACGCTAAGGTGCCTTACTGGCTCAAACTGGGGGGCCTCCAAAGACACCCTCCTCTCACTCTATATATCACTAATTAGATCTAAAATAGACTACGGATGTGCCATATACGACACCCTAAACCAATCCCTAAGCAAAAAACTAGACTCAATCCAATATCAGGCTCTAAAACTAATAACACGCACTCAACATGGCACCTCCTACACTTCACTCCAGGCCTTAACAGAAGAAATGCCACTAAATCTACGTAAGGAACAATTAACTCTAAATTTCTGGGCCGCGTCTCAATCCAACCCCCTAATTCAAAACCTAATAAACAAAAATATCAGCCCCAAAAACCAAGCCCTAGCTCGAAAACACCCTCTACTTACTCCAATATCCCAAAGAATAACCAATTACTTAAATGAACACCAAATAAACAATCTTAAACAAAACTGTAAAAAATCAAATATCTTCACCCCAAAACTTAAAACACCCAAAATAGACACAACACTAGCTAGCACAATAAATAAACAAACCGACCCAAACATAGCCAAAACCACCACACTAGCATACATACATGAAAATTGGCCAAATTGGTGTCACATTTACACAGACGGATCCTCAGATCCGATCTCCAAACACACAGGTTTCGGAGTCCACATCACACAACCGACTAAAGCCACACAATCCTACCGACTCCCAAACAATCAATCAATATTCACGGCCGAACTAATGGGCATGGCCTCAGCCCTTCATAATCAACAATCTAAAAAACAACAAAATATCCTAATACTTACCGACTCGCTCAGTGGACTACAAGCCCTCCAAAATAAAAAAAACAAAAACCGCCCTGAACTAATAAATCAAATACTAAAAAGCTCAAACAATTTAACTAAGACAGGCAAACAAATAGTATTCATTTGGATCATCGCCCACGTAGGAATATACGGCAATGAAAACGCTGATAAAGCAGCTAAACTATCCCTTAAAATCCCAGAAATAAGCTTAAACCTACCCATCTCCAAATCAGAAATTAAAAGTGTCAACAAACAAAAAATCACCAAAAAATGGCATAATCTATATCAAAACTCAAATAGCCAAATCTAAAAGGTTCTAAAAAAACCCCTAACCAAACCAAAAATTCTACATCCGTCCAAAAAAATCGACAGAGTAATTACTAAACTCCAAACAGGACATACCAACCTAAATAGCAACCTCAAAATAATAAGAAAACACGCAACAGGAACCTGCCCACATTGCAAACAACAAGAAACCCCAGAACACGCACTCATACACTGCACCCACTATCTAACACACTGAACTACACTACAAACCACCCTAAATCTAAATAAGGCTCTTACTCTAGAAGCAATCCTAAACCCACAAAATAAAATAGAAAAATTCAAAGCCTAAGGCGTATATACATACTTAATCAAAACAGGACTAATAAATCGCATTTAAAACCCCAGAAACTACCAATACAAAACCACATAATCAAACTAACAAACTTCCATACTCAGGTCCCTTTGTTCGCTCCCCAAACCCTCTTGGCATTTTTTCCAAATCTCAAAATTTCCAAAATTCTATATAAGCAACCACTAAAACACCCCTACTGGATTGCCAAACAACTTTTTCCCCTTTTTTGGAAACACATAAAATGGCTTGGCCGGGCCCGTGTGCGAAATACGCTGCAGTCGGAAAGCGCACGTAAAATCTCTAATATAAGTAAGTAAGTAAGCATATGTCTAAGTTGGTATTCCTGTTATCCTTAATGTCTTATTTTTTATATAAATGCGATGTTTAATAATGCGTGCAAAGGCTGTTTGCATTTTTCGCATGTAATACACGCTCACGTTAATTTTAAGATTTACAGTACCCATACACTTGAGGTGAGGTGAGGTGAGGTAAAAGGGGGTTTAAAGTTGCGTCCAAGATTATTGCACTTATATAGCGTGTGTGTGTGTGTGATTGTGTGTGTGTGATTGTGTGTGTGTGATCGTGTGTGTGTGATCATGTGTGTGTGTGTGTGTGTGCGTGCGTGCGTGCGTGCGTGCGTGCGTACTTGCGTACTTGCGTGTACTAGACTGGCCTGATGCCGATTTATAGTGCTAGCACAATGAGATACCATACTGCAGTTTGGTTTAAACATATTTTTATTTCAAATGAAATCTGGATCGGTAAACAAGCAAAACTTGCTTATGTAAATACCTCTCCAGGTAATAACTTTACAACAGCTGGTTATATATCAGATTATATGTAAGATAGTGCTAAACATAAACATACTAAATGCACAAATGAAATATATGAAGCCAATACAAGTGGTGTCTGTGAAATAAGATGTAGCCGTTTTCCATTACTACATGCATAAAATTAAGCTATGCGGTTTTTTTGCTTTTGACAATGAAATCGTGAACTGATTTAAGAATAGTCATGTTTGTAGAACTGCTAACTGAACTACTGCCATGTAATAACGTTTTTAAAGCATACCCATGTGTGTAGAAATACATAGTGTTTCTGATATTATGGTATTTTTGACAGGTATAGAAAAAGTGAATTGCGTCTTCAAAGTGATACCCACAAGTGCAGTCTGATATGTCTGATACATGTCGTCTAAACTTATCAGCGTTAAGGTCACTGCAGCCGAGCCTAAGGCGACAGTGGACAATTTGGCATGATCTATGACCTTATTTTAGGTCAAAGGTATTAATAATTGTATCAGAACGATTAATTAAGGATTTGAATTCTTTTAATGAGCAAGAATTTGTAACTTCATTGGGTAGAGCGTTCCACAGGTTAATCGTATCTGGAAGAAATGATTTAGCATAGGTCTGGGTTCTATATTTGATTGTTTGTATGTTAGATCTATTTCTAAGGTTATAATTGCTATTATCAGAGACTGGACTTGGAATGAGATCGTTGAGATATACAGGTGAAATACTGTTTTTCATTTTATAAAATGTAATCAATTTGAAGCGGTGTCATCGTTCTTTTAAGGACTGAAAGTTTGTTTCGTTATAAATTTTAACATGACTGGTACCCCGAACCGCCCCACAAATAGTTCTCAATGCGTCCAAATGTAAATTCTCGAGTAACAATGATTGTTCGTTTGTACAGTTGTCCCAAATATGACAGCAGTAGTCGAAGTTTGGTAGGATAAAAGATGTGTACATAGTTTCAAGCGTTTTACTGCAGTTTAACATGAATACCCACTCAGATACAGTATACTGACTCTGAGCTGACTTTAAGCCCCTTAATGCTGAGCGCCAGACAGGGTAACAACAAATACCATCTTTTAACGTCTTTTTATATGACGTGGCCGGGGATTGAACCCTGGACCTTCAGCTCTCCGGGCAGACACTCTACAACTTGACCACAGAGGTAGTCCCTATGCACATGAGACTATAAGAGGCAGGAAACACTTAAATCGCCTGCCAGTGGTATATTCTATTGAGTGCAAGGCTCAAGCTCCTGGCCACAAACGCTGCTTGGGAATTGCTCTGAAGAGTCAATGACATTGAATTAAGAACTTATCAAAATGTTTCTAGCTGACTGGCTCCTTTCGCCATCTTAGTAGGGCAGTGTTTAATGTGACAGTGGTTATCATTGAATACACTGGGGTTTTGTTTCAGAGTTTCAATGAAATTAGAAAAGAGTGAGGCACCAAATCGCCAGCACACAACCACAGTGATCTAACCCAACGCCAGTGATCTGAATTGCATTGTGTGTTCTTAGCTTTCGGCCATGGGAGTCGTGCCAATTGTCAGAGGGGAACCCAAAATATGTGATCTAGACTACCAGTTGTCAAACTTTATTTATTTGTGGAAGCCTCTGTGGCTGAGTGGGTTAGATCGCTGTCTTCGTGTGCTGGCGATTAGGTGCTTCTCTCTGGCAGTGTGGGGTCGAATCCAGGATGTGACTCAACCCCAAAAAGTACTTGAATCTGTTATTTACTAAGAAAGTGTTATCCCAAATATAACATTTGTTACATTTGACCACTTTAAAAATGGCATTGTGCGTTCAAAATACACAAGTTCATCAATCAGTCATTGAGAATTTGCTGTCAGGGAAAACAGAAGGCACCAGTTCATGGCAGCATTGATATTTGACGTATAATATGTTGTCATGAAAACTGGAAAAGTTTCATTTCCAAAATTCCTAAATTGAAAAAGAGCACTAGTTCATGGCTACACTGATATCTGTGCAAAAACTGGTTTAGAACCATTGAACGGTATACGCAAACAACAGAATGACAGAAGGACAGAACCCATTTGTATATCCCCCTCCCACAAGAAGTCCAAAGACCAAATCTTGTAGAATTACTTCTGGCCTATTAAGACAAGCTCATACAATCCAAATACAAAGACAAAAATCTACTAATAATGATGCAAAAAGCTAATAGTTTTTCATGCTACGTGCCTCATTTGATAAATAGACAACACAATGTTTAACAATGTAGGTAACAGTAGACATCCAAGGGTCATCTGTTTATGTGTTCCCTATGGAGATTCCGGGTTAGAAAAGCTATATGAAACCATTGTGACCACGCAGTCACCAGACAGCCATTGTGTCCACACAATCACCAGGCAGCTATTGCGACTGCACAATCACCAGGCAGCCATTGTGACCATACAATCACCATGCAGCCATTGTATCCACACAATCACCAGGCAGCTGTTGCGACTGCACAATCACCAGGCAGCCATTGTGACCATACAATCACCATGCAGCCATTGTATCCACACAATCACCAGGCAGCTGTTGCGACTGCACAATCACCAGGCAGCCATTGTGACCACACAATCACTAGGCAGCCATTGTAAGCACACAATCACCAGGAGTCTTTCTTTCATATTGCTTTCTGAACAATGTGTTTTTAAATTTGTAAATCTAGTTGGTCAAAAAGGTACTTATTCCTTCTTCTTTGGTTGCGACTAAAAACTTACCTCAGCCATTTTGTGATGCAGCCACGGCAGAACCTGTGACCACATTTGGTCTGTCGAGGTTCTCGCAGGATAAGCAGGCAGATGGCGCACTCGTATTTGGGGTCAGGGGTTGGTACAAAGTCATAGTCAAAGCCCTCTGTCCGCTCTTGATAGCAATACCCTGCCCCCGACGATGTCACCTCTCCAAAAGACGCGCTATCGCTCCCACTCGGGAATGACGGCTGCCCAAGATTAGCCTCATTTTCATCCATTATCTTCACGAACAAAACGTCTTTGGTGCAGACTCATGACACACGGCACTCCGAGCAACCACACGATTGGATGAGGCAACATTGAGAGTTCTTGCTGAGCATGTAGAGTGCCTGAAACACAACACTGAGTTCGTGAACACACAAATACCAAAGTGTTCCCCTTATGGTTATTAATTCATTTTAAATATATTAAGTAAAGCTGCAACTAAACATGCTAAAATAACATGATATTGGAATAAAATATTCCTGATAAAATCATAGTTTCAGATACAATGAGATGTGAGTACAGCTGATTGCTATTTCTGGCTTAGTTTACGAGAAAATACACATGGTAATCTTAATCTCTGCATATAAAACAATGCCTCTCAGAACAGGAAATACAATTCAAACAGTAAATCATCATGTCTGGTGTAGTTTTATCTAAAATTTCAAAATTGCATTGACCAAGTTTAATTGTTATGATCTGTTCGTTTCTCTGAATTCGCTGAAGGCATACGATGTAATATTTTTGGGCGGAAGACAAACATATTTTTATTGCAAATGTAGGGATTGTGTATACGCTGGTAAGATGCTTCATTCCGATTCACTTTACAGACGGGGGATATAAATAAGCATCAATTTTGAAGGCTTGTACAGGGGGGTTGCCTCATATGTGGGGTCGCTATATAGTGAGTGGTTTGACAAGGACTGTGAGATTCTTAAGAAATTAAAATATGATACTTTACAGACATTTAGAAAATATAGATATGATGAAAATTTGCAGTCGTATACTGATGCAAAAATGCCATTTAAAAAATTATGTACAAGGAAAATGAATGAATATAAAAGAAATATAGAAGTTGAGGTGAAGGCTGCTGTGGAGTCGCATGATTGTAAACTTTTTTGGAGAAAGATTAGACAGTTGCTTTCGTCAAATAGCGTTGATAGCGGTGGTATTTCAGCCTATATATGGTTTCAGTACTTTGTTTATTAAATCCACAGAGTGAGTCGGGAGATCCAGAATTTGATGATTTAGTTAAGACTTATGTAGAAGGTCATAATGTTGATAGAGCATCCATCGAGAGCACCCATTTCAGTGTAGATGTCAATGCATTCAGAAACAAAAGGATGCATAAAATATCATTATTATTATTATTATTATTATTACACCGCAGGTATCCAGATACTAGTATCTGCCCAATGCAGTTTTATTTGGTCCCCGACCAGTGGATCTGTTTAAATTCCTGTTATCATTCTCAACTCCCTGGGGAGTATACAAGCCAAGCTGCCTAGGGGCACTAGAAGGTTTTTACATACACCACACATATCAGGTACCCATTTACTGCTGGGTGAACAGAGGCACATTTGAACTAAGTCACTTGCCCAGGGTGACAACACAAGTTTTGACACTTGTGTTTCGGGTGTATGTACGTATTCGTGTTTCCACCATGTGGCCTCTACCATCGGACGAGTGGGTTCTTTTGAATGCATATGATGATGGCCTGTAAACACCATATTTTATTGTGTATCATATGCACTTGAGTTTGGGGGCAAAATAAGAAAACTGCAATGAATGTCATCTAAAGGAATGATCAATAACCTTGATAAACAAACTGCCAACTAACATACTCTCATATCAAAGGGGCACAGTCTGTTGCCCTCCTTTTAAGACACAAACAAAGAAGAAGTCTTTACGCTCTAGATTTTCACAATTGGGACAACACACACATATTTTCTCTGACAAAGGAAATCATCCTTGCTTCAAGGCAGTACTGAATGCTATATAAGAACAAAAGTAATAAAATTCCACCTTTTGTTATCTTATTGCTTTTGTTGTTCTTACATGTACAAACACATGCCCTCTGATGAAGGAGTAAGCATACTGTGAAATGTTGGGTTCCACTTAATAAAGAAGTTGACATCAATAAATTATCTTCCTTAGCCTTAGTTTGAAAAAGCCCCCCCCCCCCCCCAAATAAAACAAAAAAACAAAAAAACATCGCAAGCCTGCACTATATTTTCAAAAGTCATGAGAATCAAATCTTTTATTTGTTTAAGCCTCAGGAAAAGTAACCTTTCTATTTGTGGGGGCTGCAGTGGGCTGAAGTCTAGAGAAGACATAGGAAATAACCTACAACCTAAGAGGTATTATAGACTGTCACGTGTGAATTAATTTTGTAAATGTCAAGCTTTGGCAAGGGTCTTGTAATTTCAAACATTGTTTAATGACGGACATATGATTTGTAATTCAAAAATTGTGAGTAGTTTATTTTGTATATTACCCATAGTTTTTTTTCTGAAAAATTGTAGAAAATGTGTTTTCTGACCACAAGTTTGTTTGTTTGTTGTTTAACGTCACACTCAGCAATATTCTAGCTATATGATGGCAGTCTTTAAATAATCAAATTAGGACCGGACAGTCCAGTGATTGACATAATGATTATCAATCTACGCAATAGTCAGTGAGCCTGACCATCTGATCCCATTAGTCGCCTAACATGGCATGGGTTGCTGAAGACCTACTCTAACAAGTGGAGACATCAATTCAATCAATATATTGTTGAAATGACGTCACACGACTTTCTGTGACATCATTGACAATGGATGACTTCATCATTAATTATTTGCATAAACATCTGAATTTTTAAAAAAAATGCCAAATATGGGTTTCTTGATGGCTTTTTCCAGCTGTGATAAAAAACATTTGGGTCACAAACATAACGGTTGCCATTTTGTCAATCACTATAGCAGGTTGCATTTAGATGGTACGTAAGTTGGATAAAACACTCCTCCTCGGTACTGGTCGAAAATGTAAAACTTTTATAAAGCTAAGGAAAAGCCCTCGCTAACTGTTTTACGTTTTCAACCAAAACCTTGGAGTCATGTTTTATCTTTAACATTTAACTATAGTCATACCATGACAGATTAACTACAGAAATAGGAAACATTTTGATTAGGATATCAGCCATGTCAGCAGCAACATCAGATTATTTAATACTGAAATACTTGCATATATCATTGAGTGTATGTATCATGGCTCAATTTAATGAACTTGATTTAGTTGGTTGGTTTGTTGTTTAACGCCGCACTCAGCAATATTCCAACTATATGACGGCGGTCTGTAAATAATTGAGTCTGGACCAGACAATCCAGTGATTGACATCATGAGCATCCATCCACGCAACTGGGATCGATGACATCCATCAACCAAGTCAGCGAGCCTGACCACCCAATCCCCTTAGTCGCCTTTTACGACAAGCATAGTCGCCTTTTACGGCAAGCATGGGTTGCTGAAGACCTATTCTTCCCCGGAATCTTTACGGGTCAGAACTTGATTTAACTTGCACCAGGTGCATGTTGACATGAAAACCCAGTTGCACCAGACAAAATCAGGTTGCACCCTTGTCCCATGAATGTATCAAAGTTGAAACATGGCCAGTCTGCTGCCTGTGTCACATTAATTAATGACATATTGCTGTATCCATAGTTTCCAGTACCCACAGTTTGATGATGTCAAGCCCACAAAAGTATGACAAACTACAAGAAAACACAGAGATTAGAGATGTAGTGTGGTAAATAAGCCTCAATGGTATTAAATGTGTTCAAAGATTGATGTGTGTCAAGTAGACCCAAAAATTTAAAGTTTTTTTACTCACACTTGGTGTATGTCGACATAAATATCCGGGTGCATTTATTAATAAATGGTTGCACTGAAGCATGTTCTATACATAGTAAAATCGAGCCTTGTATATACACATACATGTATTTTGAAAACCTAGACATGAGAGACATATATATATATATATAAAAAAAAATTCCTTTTGATTAGCAAAATACCTATTTCCTCCAATATGTATTGAAATTCACCCATTAACAATTAAAATAATGATAAATTAATTATCAATATTGCAATTATTCTTCAACACAAATGTCACAACCTTTCCAACCAGGAAACAAATTAACTTTGAACACTTAAAAAACCCTTGTATCTCTTATATAAATTGATTCCAAGGAAACATGAGCCCCAACTCACCAAACCAGGAGAAAAGGTCTTTCTCAAAGTGTTTCACATGCTGCCAAGTGGATAAATCCAGTAAAAGAAATAAAATCGATCCGAAGATGAAAGAGAGAGAGTGATGTAGAATGAAGCCTGGCTGCAAGTGTGTCAGACAGCATATCACTACTTCCTGGTACAGGCAATCTGTAGCTTAGCAGGTAACACTCACTGACGTGAGGTGAGGTGAGGTGAGGTGACATGGAGTATACTGTTTAAGATTATGAGTGGCTTCTTCTCCTAGTCTTTTCTTATACCAGTTTTATAGTACAGTAAACTATGGTTATAACGAACTCAAAGGGACCACTAACTTGAGTTTGTTATAACCGTAGTTCGTTATAAGCATATATACAGTATTACAATAGCAAATAGTCGGGACAAAAAAATCAGTTCGTTATATCCATCAGTTCTTTATAATCGTGTTCGTTATAAACATACTTTACTGTACTAGCCCACTAAGCATGCTAAGATACCATGACACAGTTTAACATGGATAATATTTTATTGTTATTGAACTGTCCCCTTACTTACCAGGTAGAGTAAAAACAAATACCATTTTTTAACGTTTTTTTGTAAGACAAGGCGAGGGGAGCGTACGGGCAAACGTCCATTGTCCGGACAGACACTACACCACTATGCCATAAAGGTGGGAAACACTGATTAAGTCTCACACAACCAAAGCAGGATACAAAACATTTATGATAGTCTGCATAGAAAATACATCAATCACAACTTGTTACAAAATAATTATACTCCTTTTTATAATCTGAAATATTTGGTAGGACTGAACAGCCTTACTGGTATACTGCAATATGTTTTGGTGTTCCGGTGTATTGGGTGAAAAAATAAAACAACTTTTTTATTTGTACCGTTTAATCTAAATTCTACACAGAAATTAATTCACAAAGAATGTTTTGGTTCCAATTACCCAACCTGCCCATTAAAATGCTTCCAACCCGAACGTTTATTCACTATTTATTAACTTGACGTCTGCTTTGCCTTATTCTTGATTGCCAGTTTCCCAGTTGTAATGAAACTTGTACAACCACATTTATCGTCTGTGTCAGTGAAGACTTTG